GCAAAGGAGTCAAGGGCAGGCCGCTAACCCAAACAAAATAGCTGCTTGGGTTAGAGCAGTCTTGGATCAAGAAGTGTGGCGGGGCAATTTGTCACGTGGTGCTTGCATAAACCGCGGTGAGTACGGCCATACACAGTTTAAGTGCAAGAACCCAAAGGTATCCTTCTTCTCAGTCTGGGGCCTCTACGAGCTCCAGCCCGAGAAACACTTAGGGCCGATAGAAGTTGTAGTTGTTTCTACTCTCATTGAAGCGGGTGATGTACCCTCCCCGTTTCAAGAGTTGTCCGAAGCTATTGACTCCTTACTCACCCCGCAAACGCATCCGGACCCAACTATACTTTGTACGTTGGATGTGTCTGAAGCCTTAGAGGACCTTCAAGGTGAATGGTCGGCAAGGGACCCTCGTGAGTCATAAGTGGCACTGAGTAGAGGTCCTAGAGGGGAGCACTTCGTTGTGGAAGTTGATGTGGGTGGTAGCAAGGGCGGCGCCTTCGTAGACATTGGCTCCACGTGAAACTTTCGCCACTGGGTTGATAGATTGTGCCTAAAGGACCAGGTGCAGACCGGTAGCATTTACTTTGGCCAACAAAGAGCGCATGATGGTGGATGACTACATTAAAGATGTAGTCTGCACTTTCTCCTACCCAGGAGGAAAGTTAAAACATAAGATATCATTCCTGGTGAGCAACGATTTGCCCTTTGACATGTTGTTGGGCATGTACTACCTCACGGTTGCCGAACCCCAGTTTGGTTGGGACAAGGTGTTGAAGCACGAGTTGCCTAATGGGAGGACCTTTAGACTGGCTAAGCATACAACCAGTAGGTTAATAGACTCCTATATGTGCCTATGCGCATCTGCCTTCTATAACTATTATAAACAAAACCAAGAGGAAGGAATGTACTTGGTGTATGTCTCTGCAAAAGGGGAGGCCGTTAAAACACCCCCAGAGATAGAGATAATCGTCGCCAAGTACCCTGATCTGTTCGAGGAGCCTACAGGAGTCGTAGATAGGGAGGTTGTCCATGCCATAGAGATCATCCTAGGTAGCAAGACACCTAAGGGAATAATCTATAGGATGGCTCCGACCGAGTTGGACGAGCTTCGACGACAACTGAAAGAGCTCATAAAAAAGGGGTGGATTCGGCCTAGCACCTCCCCCTTTGACTCACCAGTATTATTTGTTCCAAAGAAAGGGGGAAGACTAAGGATGTGCATTGATTATAGAGGCCTCAATGCCATCACCGTTAAGAACGCACAGCCTCTACCCCGCATCAACGACCTATTGGATAGGGTGTAGGGATGTAAGTACTATACAAAGATAGACTTAAAATCCGGCCACCATCAGATTGCTCCCCCTTTGGCTCACCAGAGGACCAGCACAAAACCGCATTTCAGACCAGGTACGGTATGTAAAAGTTTGTGGTGATGCCCTTTGGCCTTTGCAATGCGCCGGGTACATTGGCTCACCAGAGGACCGGCAC